CGGAAGAACTACGCTCTGCTACCTTGCTGCGATATCCACTGCGAACCTGCACCACGCTTTCCTACTGTCTCCGAAATATTCACTGCCAACCTCTGGATTCTATACTCGAAGACGACCGTCATGAAAATGTCTAACACTACCATGCCGGGGCAGGGTAGACCTGGGAATAACAATGAGTAAGATGCGGTTTCATGCTTCTCAAACCTTTTCAGGACTAGAAACGTATTTGTAAAACTTCTTACGAGACATTTTTCACTGAAATTTACTTCACGATTGTGGAGACCAATTCGGACTGATAACAATCTAATGATGCTCTCGCAATTGTCGATAGTGGAACTCTTTTCAGTTTCTTTATTTCTTTGATCGTCTGAAATTTAAATTCAAATATCAATAGTTATTTTCTGTCTTCTTAATTCTGTTTCTATTATTATTTTCTCTCCTTAATAATTTTTTTTCTTTTTCTTATGTTTTTCCACACTCATTGCGTGTTCGTGCAATTATTACCTCATCTGGGATGAAATGATTAATATAAATTAATGATTTCGAAGTAATAATTTAAATAACATTTTTATAGTTTCATAGTGTCTTGAGCTCAGTTTTGGGGGTAACTATTTTCGCATAATTGAGACCCTATGTTATACGAACACACCTATTCTATTGTTAATAGACTATCCCACCTATAATAAGTGGGAGTAGTAGCAGTCGCTAAGTCGCTCAGCGAGTTGGTCTGAGTTCAGTCTGAAGTCGGACGACCAGCTGACCGGTTGAACTCTCTGCCTTCAGGCGGGGAGGAACTCGAACGAGGCTACGCCGAAAGGCGGTGTCTCTTTCGGGGAGGTAAACCGACCCTGAACCCGTTTATACGGGTTCAATGGGCATATTTTTGGCCGAACCAACGGGCTTGGAGATCCCACGTTAAACCGGCCTTGTGCCACATGACGCCCTCGTGGGGGGGGGACTGAATATCCTCAGTGAGTTGGTCAGTCAGTCGATGTTGGACGAACGTTAGTCGGATATTAAAGTATCAGCCACCACAACTAGATTGCTGCGTCATTACCTGTTACATCAAGTTCCTAACGTTTTGTACGTCGAACCTATTTTAGGACCGACTTAGTGAAATACAAGCCTCCACTGTGAAACTACTCTATAACACCCTAAGCAAGTGGGCCTGTGAATAACAGCAATTAAGAGGTACTGCCACGCTCCTCAAAACGTCCAATCTCCCGATCAGAGGCCTTGCTGCCGGATGTAGTTTATCGTCATACCCAGGACAACCTGAATTTTATAATCCATTTTCTGTCGATGTAATATTTCAAGGCAACGTATTTGCAACGTTACAAGGTAATGCTGTAGGGATTCCACAAAAAAATGCGATCTCAATATAATGTTTCAGAGACATTGTGTTGGGTGGGTGGGGGGATATGTGATATTGTGGCGACCTTTTTGTAACTATTTCCTTTTTCGTATCAACATACCGCTAAACCCCAACGTTGGAATGTTGGTCGTCTTAGACGATTTTTTTTCTCTCCAGAATCAATCTTAGGATATTTATAAGTCTACAAGTTGTCCATGCTTTTTAATATTGGCGCTACATGTGGTCTGGTGCTCCTGATGTATCTTTAGAGATTTTTGATAAAATCCAAAGAAGAATCTGCAATGTTATTTGCCTTAACCAGGCATCTCGGCTTGAGTCTCTTTCCCACCGCCGTAATGTAGCTTTCCTGTACCTTTTCTATAAATACTTTCATGGTAATTGTTCTGATTAACTGTTCTTTATGCTACATAGACTTTATGAATTTCAACGCAGTGCTAGATTGGCTGAAAGGTCTCATCATTTTACAGTTGAAATGGCTAGATGTAACCGTAAGCTCTATGCTACCTGTTTCTTTTTTCGCTTGTGGAAGTCTCTTTTGCCTTCTTTCATTCCAGCCAACTTTGATCTTCAAAAATTTAAATGCAATGTCAATCGTATATCTACTGTTTTCTTGATTCATCTTCTTTTATTGTTATTAGCAGTTTCTTTTCTCACACTTCTCGTCTGTGGACTTTCAACGTCTTACTTTCCAATTCAATTTTAATCTTCAATAATTTAAATTTTGATAATTTAAATGCAATGTCTATCGTTTATTTACTGCCTTCTTGGTTCCTCTTCTTTTATTGTGATCGGCATTTTTCTTTTCTCACACTTCTCGCCTGTGGAACTCTCTTCCAACTTTTTAATTTCCACTCAATTATGATCTTCAATAATTTAAATGCAATGTCAATCGTATATATGTTGCCTTCTTTATTCCTCTTCTTTTATTGTGATTGGCATTTTTTTTCTCACACTACTCGCCTGTGGAACTCTCTTCCAACTTTTTAATTTCCATTCAATTAAGATCTTCAATAATTTAAATGCAATGTCAATCGTATATCTATTGCCTTCTTGATTCTTCTTCTTTTATTGTGATTGGCATCATAATGTTTTTCTTTTTCTTATTCTTTCCGACTCTATTCTTTC